CCGAGCCGCTCGGGCTCCATGGTGCTGCCCTACATCATGTCCTCCACCCTCAGGAGGCTCTCAGTCACCTCCGTGGCCTCCTCTGTGGCCTCCACGTCATCCACCTCGTCCGACAGCGCTCCCTCCAGGCCGGGCTCCGACGGGTCAGTGAGGGCAGGGATGGCAGGGATGGAAGTGACTGGCATTGATTGGCAGTGATTGCAGTGATTGACAGTGATTACAGTGATTGGCGCTGATGGCAGTGACTGGCAGTGATTGACAGTGATTACAGTGACTGGCAGTGATTACAGTGGTTGGCAGTGACTGGCAGTGACTGGCAGTGATTGCAGTGACTGGCAGTGACTGGCAGTGATGGCAGTGATTGACCGTGATTGACAGTGATTGACAGTGATTGGCAATGACTGGCAGTGGTGGCAGTCATTGACAGTGATTACAGTGATTGGCAGTGACTGGCAGTGATTGACAGTGATTGGCAGTGATTGGCAGTGATTACAGTGATGGCAGTGATTGGCAGTGACTGAAGTGATGGCAGTGTCTGACAGTGACTGGCAGTGATGGCAGTGCTGGCAATGATTGCAGTGATTGGCAGAGATGGCAATGACTGGCAGGAATTGCAGTGATGGCAGTGCCTGACCACAGTACTTGCAGGGATCCCTGTGGCAGAGAGGAGTGATGAGGAGGACTCCATCTTATCAGAAGGCTCATTAATGACTTTATTATACTATATTATTCTATACTAATATACTATTTTATTCTATATTCTGTTCCATTACATGTAAACTGAGTCTGCCAAGCTCTCAGCTCTGCTCACACTGCACAGAATCTCATGACTGTCAGCCCACAGTCCCAACACACACACCTGGCCCTGACAGGCCAAGGAACCAAACACCATCACTGTGGGTAAACAATCTCCATATTGCATTCTGCTTTGGCACAATACAGGCACAGTAAATTATAAGATTTGTTTTGCCTTTCTCTGAGGTTCAGAGAATGTGAAACCCAGAAATATTCTTGGGAAGAATTGTGCCTTGCTTTTCTCTGTGAGGAGAAATGTGGCTACACCTGACAGTGCCTGCCAGCAGGGGGAGGTGCCTTACACAGGCTCAGGTGTCACCTGAGCCAGGAACAGCAGGGAGGCACACACAGGCTCTGGGCCTCTCCAGCAGGTTAATCTGAGTTTATCAGAAACCCATTCCTTTATACACCCTTCTGATACAGGGGCACCTGGTTGGTCATTTAATCAACACCCCAGCACCACTGGCTAATTAAGAAAATGCCCTTTGGTAAACATGTCATGAGAAAACACCTGTTCAAAACACCAGCTGCAAGATGGTTTTAATTCTTTCTCTCAGCCTTCTCAAAACTCCCAGAACAATTCCTGGGAAGGTTTATCTGGCTTCTCTCTCTCTCTGACTAAACTGTCCCATCGACAATCAGGTGCTCTGAAAATCAAGATTTACTCCATGGAAATACATTTTAAAATGTTCCTGGAGGTCAGTGGTGTTGTTCCATTTTACAGAAGGGGGTTTGGAGCACAAACAGTGGGAACTGACCCCCAGCTGCTGCCTCTGGAGCCCCAGCTGTCCCCAGTGCATTCCAGGTGCCCCCTGCCTCAGTTTCCCAGGAAAACAGGGCTGTGAGGCACCACCAAGGGGGGATTAAGGCACACAGCACTTGTTTCACCCTGTTTGCAGCTGCATCCATGGTGTGGAAAGGAGCTGCCACACCTGGGGACATCCCTGATGTCCCTTGTGTGTACATTGCCTTTCCACTGGGATAGGCAGAGTTCAGGTGATTTGGTGCAGCTCAGTGAGACTCATGGCTGAGCAGGAGCTGCAGATCTGGCTCCCTCTGCCAGCAGATCACACTTTACCCTGGACAAAAACCACATCACACTCAGAATTCCAGGGGTAGCAGCACAAATCCCACTGAAAAATCCATGCTCCTGCTTCACTGTTTCACAGTAATCCCTTACACAAACTGAGAGATCACAGATTTTTAACAGCCAGCCCTTGCCATGTCTGATGGATTCATGTTTCATGTTTTCCTCACTCTTTTGGGCCACAGATCTACCCTGGAGCCTCTCCTGGAGAGGAGAATATCCACGTCTTCCAGAGCTGAGGAGCTGCCTGTGAAAGAAGATGGTGACAACAGGATTAGCAAACTCAAGAGGAAGGAGTGGAGCATTAGCAAGTCTCAGGTTATTGTGGAGAAGGAGCCAGAAACAGAAGTGACTTCCAAAATGGTAAAAACCCCATGCCAGCAATGACAGCAGTAATAAACCCCAGCAGGAGCTGAGAGTTTCCATTGCCCTCAGCCCTGCTGCTCAGGGGGAGCTCAGCAAACACTGGGAGGGGCTCAAATACCAGCAAGGCTCAGTCATCTGAGCAATTCTCTTCTTTAATTTGGAAAATTCCTGTCACAGCCCCAAGGGCAGCTTGGCTGGAGGTGCAGCCTGGGAGCAGGAGGAGCTGAGCTGAGCTGAGCCCTGGGTGCCTCAGCACATGGCCAAGCCCTGTTGGGTTGGGGCAAGGAGCCCCTGCCCAGCCAGGCAGGATCCAGCTGCCAGCCAGATGTGGAGCTGCTCTCAGGCAGCAGCACTGCACAAATGCAGTGTGCTGTGAGCTGCAGAGCCCTGGGATGGGTCAGGTTGGTGGGAGAAGATGCTCTGGGGGTTCTGTCAGCACCTCTGGAGGGCTGGAGCTGCCAGGCTGGGCTCTGCTGCAGCCCCTGGGAGGGCAGGGTGGTCACTGGTGAGGAATAAACAGAATGTGCAGCCCCAGAGGGGGCTGGGGTGAGGAGCAGAGCAGAGGCTGCTGGGCTTTAGGGCTCCCTGTGCGGTCAGAGGGCTCACCCAAAGCACAGGGAGGAGTTTCAGCCCACAGGCAGAGCTGTACAACCTTGGGACATTGTCCTGATGGATGTAAAAACTGTTACACCTTGAAATATTGTCCTGATAGATGTAAAAACTGTGTTACACCCTGGGACATTGTCCTGATGGATGTAAAAACTGTGCTACGCTTTGAAATATTGTCCTGATGGATGTAAAACTGTGTTACACCCTGGACATTGTCTTGAAGGACATGAAAACTATGTTGCACCCTGGGATATTGTCCTGATGGATGTAAAAGCTGTGTTACACTTTGGGATATTGTCCCAATGGCCATAAAAACTGTGTTACACCTTGAAATACTGTCCTGATGGATGTAAAAGCTGTGCTACACTCTGAAGCTGAGAGAATTGGGCACCTGGGCATTTCAGTGCTCCTCATCACACTGAAGCTGGTTGTTAATGTGATTTAACACAGGCTCATTTTTCACAGTACCAAGAAAACAGAAATTCCTGTGCTTCCCTTTCCTCTCCAGCTGAATCTGGCAGGGACAGGTGAAGCTGATCCATGCTCAGGAATTCCCATCAGCTCTGGGGGATGCTGCCAGCACTTGGAGGCTGCAGAGTGTTTCTAGGAAGGGATTCTGTGGAGCCAGGGCGCTGTCACTGGGGCTGACAGCATTTCCAGCCCAGGAAAATTGGGCTTGTGGATGTTGGAGCTGCAGGAGGCCTGGCCCTCTGCCTCTGCAATTGCTGTTGGATGGAATCCCCAATGTCTCTGAAGGGAAGGAGCCATCCAGGGTTCCAGTCCTGCCTCAGGATGCTGCAAAGCCCAGGAAAAGGTGCTTTTGTGGCTGCTGTGCTCCATGGCTCCACAGTGAGGACAGGAGCTGGACTGAGGGGTTTTCTGAGCTGGAAAGGCAGAGGGAGGCAGAGACTGCCTGGGCTTTGTGTGTGTGCTCCCTCCTGTGCAGGGAGAAGTCCTGAGCTGCTCAGGGATGGAGAACTGACCTCTGACAAGGAGTTATTGGTGTGTTTGGGTGACAGCCTGCTTTGGGAAGCAATGAACCAATGCTGAAAAGGACCCCAGTATTGGGCACTGCACTTTGGGGCCACACTGAGGTGGCCTCGTGGTTTGAGTGAAGAGCACAAAGGGTGTGACACTGGAAGGAGCTGGATGTAAATTCCCAAATGCAAAGGATTTGCTCTATAAAGCCTAAAACAGACTCATTTCACAGCCTCAGGAGCTGGAGGATACCAGCAGCCCTGACCTGCACCCAGAATTTTATTTTTCTTTATTTCTTGGAAAGAGTTCACCCTCACTCCCCTCCAAGTTTATTCACAGAACTGCAGCAATTTTTCAGTGTAACATCTTCCCACCTTAATTGATATATCTCAATTAAAACAACTAATTAATACATTAATAATACCACTAAAAGCAGTTCAGTGCTGCTCAGGAAGTCCAGGGGACGCTGGGCTGTGTCCTGGGAGCACAGAGGTGCCTGTGGCACTGCCAGGCCAGGGCAGGGCTTTACTCCTGTTCACCTCTTTGTGCCAGGTGTGGTGTC